CAAAACACCTCGCTCCCCACTCCTCCCCGTAAATGGTGATTTGATACGACCTCTCCCCCTAGTTCCCTTCTCTGATACGACCGAGCTGTCGAGCGAGGGGGAAGGGTGTACACAGCAAATCCGAAACAGGAGAAATTGCGATAAGTCAACAACCGGGACAAAAAGAATTCCAAATGTAGCCACTTTTTCTTCTAGAAGGTAAACAGTAAAACACCACTCCTCCTACTATCCTCTAGCGGTCGAATAAAACTCCCCTGCTGGTGAATGTCCCCTGTTTTCGGGGAGTTGCACAGTAGAGTTCAGCGACGGGTGATCTAGCGTCACGAGCCGCCGAAACGGCAGAAATCGTGATCATTTAGCAAATGGAAAAATTCTCGCGGCACGGAACCATTTCTTTAGAGTGCAGGGACGACCCCAACTGACCACTACGGCCCCCTCTTCAGCGACCAACTACGCTTGCCACCCTGCTTGATGGGAGTCTCCCAGCGGTGCTCGTGCCGTGTTTCCTTTGTTCTCCATGGGCCTTTTTCCCTTGAACAGCTCCGTTTGCTCCCTGTTTCTACCAGTCAGTGGTTCTGTTCGCCTACCCCCGCCCCCTCCTTCGATCAATTCTCCTTTTAGACAGCTGTTTTCTGTCCCATTTTCTCATTTTAGTTTCAAGACCAGTTTCTCATGTCTAGAAATGTGTTTTCTTCTCCAAGTATTTTCGTTCTCTCTTCTCGATCGATCCACCGATTATTCATATTCTCATGCCTGGAAAAGCGTCATTTGTAAAGGTTCCACTGGCTTGGAGTTTTTCCTACTGTTTTTTCGCAGCTTGATCGCACTTACTAATCACTTGATCGTGAATGTTTATGAAAGCTTTGCAAGGGTACTATAATTCAAATAAGCCATCGTATGGGTTGCCATTTCATTAGGGACTCTTGGCGCTGTTCGGGTTAGAAGGGACATTTTGCACTTTCGCGCTGTTCCTTTTGTTAGTTCATGTGTGGAAACAAGTCTCATTCCCAGGAGACCTGTAAACTCCTCGAGAAGGGTCGCACGTTTGCGAATGAGTAAGGCACTTTGCTGAGGTTTACAGGTCATCACCAGGTGGTTTGTGAAAGGTTAGCTGAGTGTTTTCCAATCCCACCAAACCAAGCTGCACCGTTTTTTCAGCTTAAAATTTTTGCTTATTGTTGAATTGACCTGTTGGGGGAGGATGGTGGGCCGGAATGCGGTGTAGTCAGAGGCAAGTGGCACGCGTTACGCACGTATCAGTCTGTTTATCGAACGCCCGGATCGTCTCCAGCCCAGTCATCGCAAGCGCCTTCACTCAGATTCATCTTAGAGGATATATAACTTTGGGCGCGATTTGGGCTTGGTAGGAATCATAATCGGTAAAATGCTATCAGAGAAACGTGAAGTGCCATCTCTTGTGCATCCCTGTAACTATTGTAACCTCACTTGAATCACTTCGCATCTTCACGAGAGTTTACGCGTTTTCCCATGTAAGACCTGTTATTTGAATGAACTGGTAAGGGGGACTTGTGAAAGTGTGAAAAGCCCCTCCAAGCTGAACAGCGCCCATTGGTGAGTAATTATTGAAGGCATCTGGTTCTAGCAGTTTTAACTTAATATTTCTTGAGTTTGAAAGGGATTTTTTCATGAATTTGCATACGCCTTAGGAGGACTGTCATGTCCTAAGGGCCAACCCAATATTTCAAATGCATCGGTGCAAATCCACTGTTGGCTTCTGGCCCTGTTCTTCCTGGTCGATGCCAGGATAGCTGCATAACATTTCCAAGGAAAAAGCACCCATTTGATTGCTCTGCTATTTCGTCTGAAACCCTTATTCTGTCCTGGCAGTTCAAATGGCTCTTCTTTGCTGCGCCACTGCGGCGGAATTCTCGCGATTAGCATTATACTGAACATTTTCAGGGTTTTCCTTTGCTTCCTCCCCATTTCTGCTTCTTGATGGTCCACAAAATGAACGGGGACACACAGAAATCATGTGAGTGTTGCTTGGATATTCTGTTCTTGAATGTTCCATGTGATTCATCTGAGACCGCAATCTGCTGTGGAAAAACACATCAGGCAATAGATGTGTCATCCAACTGGCATTTCCACAGTCTCCACACTTCAGCCTGTTCCTCTTTTTATACAGTCAATGGCTGGCCATAGCAATGATTTTTTGCCCCTTCACGGGGCATCCAAACCATTTATATTACAAGGCAATCGTTCCATTATCGAAGATTCAGAGACGTCAGTGGATGAGAAATCTTCTTTGAAGAAAGTGAGATGAGGCGGTAAAGATATCTGGGACGGTAAATCCCCACGGTGTCAAAATTCTACCAATTCCTGTTAACAGTGTGTAACTAGAACCTATGGAGCATTATGCACTGTAAATACAAGGGTAATAATTAAATTCAAGGCAAAAAAAGGGCGTGACTATCTGGGGAGGGGATTTCAATAAAGTCTGCTGTGTGCACGTGGTAGTGTAGCGGGCCCTCGGCGGCACGTTTGGCACATCCGCAAAAGTGCTTTGATCAGGACAGGCGAAGCTAGGGCGGATAGCTAGCTTCGCCCTTTCTCCCATTCTTCACTTGAGGGCCATCTCGAAAGGGTTGGATACGTTATTGGACTTCGCTGTCTCTGCATGACGGCGAATGAGCAGAGGGGCGTTTACACATCTTTGATTCCCTTTATCGATACGTATCAGAGGCTTTGCAAGAGCGCTTTTTTCTTCAATACCGCAGGGTCGCAGATTGTGAACAGCACCTTCAAAACTAGTTGTATATCTACCTATCCACCTTCTAGGCGGTCTTTGCTATGTGCGAGGTGAATGGATCCGCAGCAGCAGTAGTCTGCCGCGTTCTCCACGCTAAGGGACGGGAACAGTGCTGGAGGGTAGTGATTCCGAGCTGGCGTTTTGCAACTTAGCCTGCGCTATCTTTGAGACGGAGCAGTAGCGTCGAATAGGCAGAATCCACCGTGAACGCGGGCCCGTCAGAGGTGGAGAACAAGCAAGAAGTGAGAGGGTGCAGGCAAATAGCGCGTTTGTCTATGGTCGCGTGATCGGCCGTGTTCCAGCGCGAGCGGAGTCCGGGATGGCCACTGGGTACCACTACCTTCAGCCCCGTTTCCAAGCACTTTAAGCTAAGAAAAGCTGACACACATTGCCAGCTGCGGCCATTTACCTCGCACGTGGCCGGGACCAGGATCCACGGGGGGTGAATGTGCAAGTGCCCTTATAGACATGGAGACGACTCTTCAGTTTTGGCTTTCAGATAGGCCCACTTTATTCCAGCTTTTCGTACTCTTTTTTTTAGGGTACATATTCGACTGTTTCATACTTTGGAATAGTCAAGTTGTAATTAAGTAGCACTATCTACTTGGGCTGATAAAAGTGGCTGTCAAGCGACAACGCTACGGACCCAGGATTCTCAGCGTAAAATATCTCTTTACGATCGTCAAGCGACAATACAGCAAAGGCGGGATCGACAGCGTAAAACATCTCTCTACGACAACTACCCTGATGGTGAGTACTTAGGCATTGTATCAGTAAGTTCCGCTGTTCTTAAAACTTCTAACATTTTCCTTGCAGTGATTGTTGAACCTTTTCCTGACATCTTACGAATAACAATGTTTCGCCTACCGAGCCTACGGGGAAGCTCGACGCAACATTCCATTCGAAGAAGCACAACAGACGTCCGCAAGCAATCCGTGGTATGTTGTCTCACCTCGTCCTGTGTAGCTGCTATAGCCCTGACTATCATGCGTAGGTTTTCATGCCTTTATTGACACGGTCTTTACTGTAGCTTACATAAAATGGGCACGATTGCTGGGGGGAGGGGGTTGGAGGGGAGAAGGGGGAGGCGGCAGGAGGCGAACGAATTCATTGGGTGATGGAGCTAGAGAAGGCGTTTGGCCATACCCACTCAGCCCTTCCACCAATAACGTTGAATGTAACCGCCTTGCGCCAGACATTGTGCCCACTGCCTTTGAGTGCTGTCAACTTGTTTTCGATTTTATGCGGACTTTGCGAAAAATTCTACGATATTGAGAGCATGAAAAATGCATCTTGAACGTCTCTTATTTATTTGATTGTAAATCTCTTAGTTGTGGGCCCAGAAGGCCTTGAGATGCGGAAGTATGCCACAAAAGTAGGAAGTGTGTGGAAAAGTTTCACCCAAGCAGGACACAAAGAACCTCGGCGAAAACTGGGGCTCAGGCACCCTTAAAGGCAGTTGGCACGATAATCCCCCAGACGGACTAGGAATGAAACACTCCTGGGGCAGGAAAAAATAGAACCCTGGGCAGGCGCTCTGATAAGCGCGTTCCCCCGAAGAAGGTGCCCTTATTAGGGCCCTATCAAGCCACAACTTTAACGTCCCAAAAACGCGCCACGCCCGCCCGCCCACAAATGGACGACCGTTCCTGACGCTCGTATTCATTCATTTGCTAAGCAAATTATGAAGCGAAGGATTGGTATGAAGCGGACGTGATGCTGCATGCATACATGGGTACACATATGCAGCCGTATCTTCGGTAGCGGTGATTGGCAAGATGCGTACGGAAAACTCGTCCGAAATCGATTTACAAGTCACTGAGAACGGAGGCTTTTTCTTCGCAGGATTTTGACCGTTTCACTCCGTTCTTTCGCCATTTCCCTACACAACGCTGTCAGGACTCTCGTACTCCGCGCATGAGTCAGTGATAGTACCGGTAGTGCACCGGCGTATGCACCACGAGCCGCGGACCGGTTAGCCAGGTCCAGTTATATCGCCTCCTTTAGCGTCATTAAAGGAGCAGTCGAGTGATTGAATTATTATACTGTTTCGGTGAGCTTGCTATTTTTGCACCGAACAAGATTTTCAAAATAAAAAAGTGCTGAGACATGTGTTACACTTGACTTCTGAAGGCGTATGGAAAGTCTGCATGGAACGCCTTTAAGACACTCGAATCAATCTTTTATAAGCTCCTCACTTATAGTCATGATTCCTGCATCGAAAGGGCGTGTGACGCGGAGGCGGAACTGAGGCGGTTGGCAGGGTGACCTTTCTACGTCCACCAATGGCGAGAAATACCGTTAGAATCCGATGAGGAAAAGTCTGTCTGGCTGCGCTCCCGAGCCACGCCCCTTACACGCCCTTGTGTGTTGCGGGATATGACTGTACACAGTAACAGGCAGGTCTTGCGGCAGCCACTTTCGCACAGGGTCCGGAGTCGCAGTATCCTGACTTTGCGGATAAAGCCTACGGGCTGCTGTAATCGAGTTTGATATATTGGTCCCAATCCATAGTGTATAATGTCCATTTGTTTGTTTCTGTGGCACCCGCCCAGGTTTCTAGGTCCTCTCGGCCTGCGACTGACGCCCTAGCTTCTCCGCATGCTCCTTCAATCGGGTTCGTCCTGGGCAGAATTTTCGCAAACCCAACCCCCTCAGAAGTTCGCCCCTCTTCTCCCTATGTCTCATTTACACAATGACCTTTCTTGGGCGTGCACTCAGCTTTCATTTTTTTGCTCTGTCTAGAGGGGGGGGGTGAATACAGCGACTCTTGGAACAGGAAACACCGATAAAGTAAACAACCAAGACCATTTTTTTGAAAAGGCAAGGGAACTCTTCTCTACAGCCAACAAATACGACCCCGCTCGCGTGAGATCTCCAAACCGTAACCTGTACGCTAGCCTTCCACTGCTGAACAGCCATCGTTCTGTGGGGCCCTTTCGGATTGGGTCCTCTGCTCTATTGTTTACTTGCGCCCCACACAACAGCCCATGTTAAGCCCACCGACTCAAGATTTAAGGAATAGGCGTCATCTAATGCCGCGTCAACGCTGACCTCGCTACATCCTGTTCTATACTGGAAGGATGAAACCCCTGCTTGTTTAGTCAAACTGGTCAGCACTTTGGATCCATTTCTCGCTACTCTGCTATTGATGTCCTATCTCGTTCTGCCACTTCATCTTCTGCTCATCAATTTCTGCTTGTTCCCAGAGGGGAGGGCTGGAGAGATCGTCTAAAACATGGGCGAATGCTTGACGTAACTTTACACTGACACCGATGCGACAGCCGCTTTGGCACAACTTGCCCTTCACCAAACGGAACCTCCAGATCCTAAAGGCATTGGAAAGGTACGACTTTTTTGAGAGACCACAACTCATTAACACCACAACGTATACACTCCATATCCCGGACATGGAGAAGGCGTGGCTATACCATCTATTTCGCGGCAAACGCTGGAGCGTATCAGGAGGACTATGTTCGACGCGGCACCAGCTCTTTTGTCCATTAATGGCCGCCGCTCTCCTTCCCGCTTCAGCAGTTGCTGGAGAACGTGCTGGCGCCGCGCCAAATAGTTCCTTCCCTGACAAGTACCCGGGGCGAAAACGAGTGGTACTTCCTCATCAAGTAAGATGCGTTTCTTGCTGGATATTCGTAACTGAGATTGCCCTGAAACTGAAGTATCACACCAAAAGCGAGCCGCCTACTACGTTCAAATGAAACGCGCGGTCACGCCCTCTCCAAAATCTGGTTATGGAGTGTACATGATTTTTTAGACATTGTGGATTGGGCAACGACACTCTCATGGGAGGAATTGAGCCCGGCACAGTTGATTGTAGTGTAGGTGACAAGTGTGGCAGCTCAAGTGTTTCAGAAGTTCGTGCCACTGAAGCGCCATTTGAAGCGGTCAACATCACTGGATTGGTCGGAGAAGCTGTTTCAGGTGGTTCACCTGCGGTTTCATTTTCATGATACGGTAGGGTCAATATTGTTACTCTATTAATTTGTTGTGACGGGGGTGGTTTAGTGGCTAGTGGCCCGCTTACTATAGGCGCCATCCCTCCAGGATGGCAAATTGGTACCAGATTCATCTTGGGGGGGGGGGTGAGGAGGGATAAAGACACTAACGTTGTATGTAGATCGACCCTGCAAGTAATCGTTCAGGAAAGGAATGGAATTTTAAAATGCCATTACAATTCTGAGCACTGCTGACACCCAAAAAGGTTTTATGAACAGCAGAAGCTGTACCCTTTGATTTGTTTAAATTTCAACTTTTTTCATGAGCTGTACCCTCATTGTCGTATAAGTTCGAGAAGATCCGAGTAGCCAGTGTGGTGCAAATTACAATACTATAGTACTGGATGTCATTGAAAAAATGAGCTTCTAACGAACTCGGTCTTGCAGGTGTCAAAGCCAAAATCTCGCTTCATCTCTCAGGTAAATTGCCAGACTCTCACTACCAATGTGGACGACATCGATCAGGCAATAAAGGTGTCCATCCCATCACTTTATTGTGCCCCTACTTGATGGACTTTCCGAATGACTTAATTCAGGACCTCAAAATGGTGTCGGCGAACTTCCGTAAGAAAGGAGTAGGCAAGCTGGTGTTGATCGACAAGCCACTGCAAGAGATGGAACCAGAGGTATGCTCATTGAAAGCCCATTCGGCACAGTTCTGCTTGGTGGGGGCATATTGCCGGTTCCCATCGACCACTGCCTATGTCTCCTGTAAGGACCTGTAAATTTTTGTGAAGATATGTCCTAGCGAGAACTTGGCAAGTTTCTACAGGTTCACCATGATAACATGTGTATTTTAATAGGAACAAGCAAAAGAAACCAGTGAAAGTGCATGCCCCCTAAGTCGAATGGCGGCAGGTCATTCGTCTACATCTCTTCATTACTACAATCTTCCCCGACGTCGGTTCTATTCGCTCCTTTCCGTTTTCAGGTTGATCTGTCAGACCTACGGAATAAGGTCGCTGGGTTGTTGTCGCTATTAGTTTCAGAAGCCGTCCTGGCGTTGAGGAGAAGTTTTGCTTGCTAAAGACGCCTCCCCCCTACCGTCTTGTTCTCCATTGGGACGACTCTTTCCACAAGCAAATCATCAGATAACGTTTCTCAAAATTTTGCCGACGAACAAGTGCAGGAGCGAGTCGACCAGGGGAGGGGGGTGGTATAGTATGCGTGAAACGGGAGAAATCAATAATCAGAACAAATTTCTCTGCACCACTCCCCTCACTCCCTCCCCTCCTGTGACCTAATACGACCCCTGCTGGTCATCGCCAACGTATGGCGTTCTTTGCTCAGTGTACTAGCGGTGTATATTGACCAATCAAATGATGACTTTTTCAGGAGGAATCACATGATGCAACGAAGACCTTGTCCACTCCGCCGACGACGCCACCACCAACCACGTTCACCACCACGTTGCTCATGCCGCCGTCCACCTGTCCTGCTGGTACAGCTCGGAAACTCACCCCAATGCCACGCGACCTTCATCCACCACATCACACTAAACCGGTTTGGAATTTTTTTCAGCAATTAAAAATAATTTATGAGAACATTGAAGGGCAAAATCAGCAGAAAAAGGATAAGTTTGTGAATTCTACTCAAAATCACGTGGGTATCTTGTTCAGAGTAGCCTCCCATCCGGCTCCAGAGCACTTGCATGTCAGGGACTGTCACTTGTCTGCTAACGACCTCGCAAAATATTTTCCTGTGGTGCGAAACTTTCCACTGTCTACTAATCGTCTCACCGAATATTTCCATCCTGTGGGGGCGGGCTCCGAACAACTATCACAAATGATAGGTTTTGCGACTGGAGGGTACCACCCCCCTATTATTGCGACCAAGCACAACCCCGGTTGAGCATCATAATAGGCAAAGTTTGGCACTTATCCATTACAACATCCAAGTCCACGCCTTGTTGGCTGAGGCTTCCGTTAAGGATAGAATTTCCAAGAAGGGATTCCCTTTTTTGAGAGGATATACCCTTGATGAAATAAGATTATTTAGATTCGCTACGCTCTTTTCGAACCAGTCAACTGGATTTACGACAGCTGCTTGACTGACAAGGAATTTGACGAGAAGGTATGTTTTTACTCACTGCGGAAGAATTTTTTCGCTTCGATTGACTGGAAGAGTTAGGCGGCTAGTGAGTGGGAGAGTTCTTCAGTAGAAGTCTGGAGTTAGTAAAAAGATCAGCAGGACATGTGTATGCGCCGAAAAGTGCCTGTCCTCTTCGCTCTGGTGACATTTGCTATCAAAAAGTGAGCAGAGTTTGTTAGCTTTTTGAGGGGTAAGTTCCTTCCACTGCTGCCCTCTGAGCACACCACGGCACCGATTCCAACAGCTTCCAATGGCTGCGGTGCGCATTTGCAACAAGCTTCTTTCGTCTTATTTTTTCTTTCATATTCTTATTGCTTCTTATTCACCAACATCTGTCCCACTGAGTTTCTGCTTTTCTAATGTGAAGAAATCAGTTATCCCGATGGAAAACCTCATTGGGAAAATGTCAGCCATGTTCGAGACCACGATAAAGCGATGTTTCGAGTGTCTTTTAGGCTCCTTCCGGTGGTTTGATGGTTAACTTAGCCTCACGAATAGAGCGCTGTATATTTTTGATTGAAAATTGGCTTTTTTCATCTGGCTGTTATACCTCTTCATTTTCTTGTGTTGGAACTTCTCCTATGTTGGAACTTCTCCTATAGAGTGTGCTTTGGTTAGAGCGCTGCCTGCGAGTACGACATTCGTTTTTCGCGATGGGGTCAAGATGGTACTATCTTTCCCATCAAATCGATATATATTTGCGGCACTGTTGGATTTTTGGTATATCAAATTTCAATCTGTTTGCTGAAGCTTCCAGTTATCCTGTTTACAAATATGACATTTGTTTTCAACGTTGGCGCCTTTTGGCGCGAGTCGGCGCCGGTTTGATCTCTCCACCTTTCACATCAAAAGCGATGAAAGCTTGTATACGGGGGCTATTTGACGCGCTGTTCACGACATTGACATTCGTTCTTGGCGCCGATGCTGATGAAGCCGCCTGTCGTCGCTAAGGCTGAGCCTGGAAACAGGTCTCTCCTAATCCCTTCAGCTTTAGCAGAGCGCTAAATGGCGCTGATGTCGAAAAGTGAATGCCATATTCGTGACAGGCAAATAACCCCAGTATAAGTTTACATCAAATTTGGTGAAAGAGGTGATGGCGCGCGCTTAATGGCAATGGCTCCAATGCCGGGGATGAGTGTCATGTACGTGATCAGGGCCCCTGTACGTGATCAGGGCGCCGGATTACCTCTATGGACGAAGTTCCAGCCAGCAGAAAAAACAACTTTCTCGAGTTGTTGGAGTAGTAAGGGGTAGTAGTAGATCGACAGCGCTAAATTTGTTGACTGGGGTCATTTGGCGCTCCATTTACGAGCATGACATTGAGGTCGGCGCCATCTGGTGTCAGCTTGGCGTCACAATCCACTCTGCTCTATTTAGAGCGATGAGCGAGACTTGAAGCTGCCGAATTTGGACATTTCACACAAATGGGCGGAGCTCGCAAGGAAATTCCTCCTAAGAGGCGTGCCTAAAGGGGTGGAGCTTATTGTGTAGGTATGCAAATGCACGGCTAGAGTTGTCCAAAGTGAAAAGAATAAGAGTGCTGGAAAAAAAGTTCCACGAGTTCAAATTCATTAGATATCACTTAA